CGCAGTCGGTCTTCCCACTCGGTTACCCTTCACGGTCGGCCCTCCTCGCAGTTAGTCTTCTCACTCGGTCACCATTCGCGGTCGGCCCACCTCTCAGTCGACCATCTCACTCGGTCACCCTTCGCGGTCGGCCCACCTCTCAGTCGACCCTTTCACTCGGCTACCCTTCGCAGTCGGCCTTCTTTCTAGTTGGCCTTCGCAGTCGGCCCACCTCACAGTCATTTTTCTCTCCAGCGACCCCTCGCAACCCCCGTCTTCTTTCTTATTCCCTTCGTTAGACTGAAGCTGCACTTGGGAATGAGGGACTACTGACATAGCTGGGCCCATAAGGGCTTTTGGCCCACTACTTAGAGCCCAATGCATAACTCAAACACTACAGCCCAACATTGCTGGAACCCAACGTTGCACCAGGGACCAATGATACTTAAACACTTGCCAACAGAAGAACCAGCCACGTAGGTAGATAAAGATCCTGCAGAGTTATTGCACCACACATCAGCCATTAATGAGGTCCCTTGCCGCATTTAATATGATAACCTCTTCACGTCGAGGCAGAACGGCTTCACCATGAACAAGGCAAATTAAAACGTAGGCTTTCGGCCAACATGACACGTCAGAGTGGACAAGGAAATGATGAGTAAAGGGTATAAGCAGGCTTCTAAAACAAAAAAAAAAAAAAGGTTAAGTTCTTTATCACCATCCTATCTCTACATTCCATCACTCTCTTCTCTAACTTGCTCGTCGGAGGGTTCACTAGGGGACTCCCGTTCCCCGTTGAACTCTTGTGCAAGTTTCTCTGTGGGCCCAGCAATCGAACAACGGTTTGGGAGACGTGGATCAATCCGACCCGTTCCATCAAGAGCTAGCAGCATCATCAATCACCAAACAAATTTTTTTATTTCACACGTCACATCAAACTTTCAAAACTCAATTCAACACTCTATTCAAAAACCATAACCAAACAAATTTTCTACACTCAAATCATAATTTCACAACTTATAAACTCAAAATACAACTCATACTCTCAAATCATATTTACAAAACTCTACTAAACACAACCTTAAATTATTTTTGAATATTTCCACATCTCTGAAATAGAGCGATGATGCTTCTATTTCACTTATAAAAAGCATTCATCATACGATAGACCACATGGCTTTATTTAAAACAAATCGTTCTAATATAGTACACTAGAGGCGTGCCCAAACAATAACTTTTTTTGTTAGGGTTTCTTGTTTGTTCCTTTAAATAAATTGTATGGCTAAAGATCCTTTGGCATGCCCAAACAATAGCTTTTTTGTTAGGCTTTGTTTGTTTGTTCCTTTAAATAAATTGTATGGCTAATGATCCTTTGGCATGGAAGAAGCTGTGGCCAATTCATTAGTCTTTAATTCTCGAAGCTTCCTTTCATCCGAAAGTATTTTTGCAAACCTGTCAAAAGTGTAATCAGCAATTTGATTATTATTTATATTGGTAAAAAGAATTTTATTTACAAAATGTTTGTTTCACGGGAAAATATTTTCATAAAATTAATCTTAAAAAAAATTAATAATTCATTTTTTAATATTTAGTTGTGACTTAAAAATTAATATACTAATGGTGGTAGGGTGGTGAAAATGATGGTAGTACGGTGAAATTAGTAAGACATGAAAAATATGCATTTGTTTTTATACAAAATTTTGCAAAATGCTAGAAAATATGAAAAAATTTGTTTTGATAAAAAAAAATTATCAAAACAAATAAAACATTAATTTAAAACAATTAGCATTTATGTAAAATTGTTACTTTTTCAAGAAAATATGAAAAAATTTGTTTTGATAAAAAAAAAAATTATCAAAACAAATAAAACATAAATTTAAAACAATTAGCATTTATGTAAAATTGTTACTTTTTCAAAGCATCTTCATTCGTGCCACCATTTTCGATTGGCTTGGAGAGATTAATCTCCAAGTTTACTTTTGAAATTGGCTTCTTCAATAGGCCTTCTCCAATTTTGACAAGTTTCTCCAAGTTCTCTTTCGTAGACACATCAACCGAAGCATCGGTCCCCGTTAATGTATCTTCCTGCTAATAAATAATTCAGTAATATGTATTGTAAACTGAAGAGGATGGGAGAAGGGATAAACCAAAGTATGTCACCATGATATTTTGAGTTTACTAAATAATTTTTTTTATGACTTACCTGAATACGGAGATAATTATCTTCAGAATGAAGAGCTTGGAAAACAATAGAAATTTGGAAATCAATCATATCGGCACTTGCTTGAGTAAATACATCGACTAATGGAGTGGAACTACCATGAAGTAACCAACCCAAAACACTCCATTTGGCTGCCATTTTAGCATTGTACTTCTTTTCCACCTTTGCCGATCCAGTGCCTATCGATATCACCAGAAAGCGACCATAATCCATGGGCTTTATTGAAAAGAAATCTTGATTTTCATGAAATATCTGCTTTGTCACTTGGCTTATGGCAACTAATGCCTGAAAAATTAACAAGCTATTAATATCTAAACAAATCCATGAAATTAATTTAGTTCAATGATTCATTATATTGAGTTCATTCGATAAGCTAGTAGTGTGCTATAGCTAAAAGAAAATCAATTTTGATAATAATCATACCAGATTATTTGCAGCAACACCACCATCGATAAGATTGAATTCTTTAACATTTCCTTCACTGTCTTGGTTTTTGAAGTTGTATGCTGGAAGATAAGTTGGAGCCGCAGATGTGCTGATGCAAATATCAGACAATCGAGCATTCAAATATGGTGATTTTTGCACCTGAAAAGGGTTGGAAATACACAATCATTAATGCCTAATTAACTTTACAATCCTAAGTATTTGAAAATTGTTTACAAGTACACGACAATAAGACATTAATTAAAATTTAAAAAAAAAAAAATTATGGAGAGCGAGAGATAGAGACAGAGGCCTCATAAGTGGAGAAAATAGTTGGCTGCAAATGCTTGATATCAAATGTTGGAATGACAACGTTTGTCAAGGTTTGATGCAACAGTGTCTCTCCCAATTTTTCCCTTATAATCCCATGAAGATATTTTCCATTGTACTTTGGTCCAGTTAATAGTTTCAACATGTTTATGATTGATCCGAATGGCCCCCTGCCATTGAAACCAAAATAAGTTGAAATGAGGGGGCGTGGTAGAACTATTTTATATCGGAATAAAACTATTCTGTGTTTATTCAAATTTTGTGATCTGAGATAAAATATCTCAAGGTCCTTTCTATCTTGCACTTGCTTTGTCCTGAGAGAGGTGAGACAACTTATTCGGGCCAAAGGCTTCGTTGCAAAAGGTTAAAATACGCTCTTAATATTGTTTGTGAATTAAACGTGGCCTAGATTAATGAAGTTTTGAAGTGGCAATGTTAACACTCAAGTTGTACCTCTCTTGTGGGAAAATCTTGGGAGAGTGCTCAAGATAGAAATTCTTGATATCTTTGGCAGCAAAGAGAGGACGATTGTTTTCATTTGGAGCAGTTAACATAGCAGTTATAAGGCCACCGGTGCTTGTTCCAGCAATCACATCAAAAAAATCTGCAAGTCTTGCATCTTCCCCATCAAGCTCCTAATTGATCCAAGGGTTGCATTATTTCGATTAGTAATATGTAAGTCCACATCGATAATTTGTTATTGATATATCATCACATGTCACACCGCGCCTCGAGCCCCACGTGCCGCCATTTCCCCTTCTCACTCAGTCACCCTTCGCGGTTGGCCCTCCTCGCAGTTGGTCTTCCCACTCGGTCACCCTTTGCGGTCAACCCTCCTCACAGTCGAACTTCCCACTCGGACACGCTTCATGGTCGACCCTCCTCGCAATCGGTCTTCCCCCTCGATCACCCTTCGTGGTCGGTCTTCCTCGCAGTCGGTCTTCCCACTCGGTCACCCTTCATGGTCGGCCCTCCTCGCAGTCGGTCTTCTCACTCGGTCACCCTTCGTGGTCGACCCACCTCTCAGTCGACCCTCTCACTCGGTCACCCTTCGCGGTCAGCCCACCTCTCAATTGACCCTTTCACTCGGCCACCCTTCGCGGTCAGCCCTCTTCCTAGTTGGCCTTCGCAGTCGGCCCACCTCACAGTCGTTTTTTTCTCTATCGACCCCTCGCAACCCCCGTCTTCTTTCTTATTCCCTTCGTTAGATTGAAGCTGCACTTGGAAATGGGGGACTACTGACATAGCTGGGCCCATAAGGGCTTTTGGCCCACCACTTAGAGCCCAATGCATAACTCAAACACTACAGCCCAACATTGTTGGAACCCAACGTTGCACCAGGGACCAATGATACTTAAACACTTGCCAACAGAAGAACCAGCCACGTAGGTAGATAAAGATCCTGCAGAGTTATTGCACCACACATCAACCATTAATGAGGTCCCCTGCCGCATTTAATGTGATAACCCCTTCACGTCGAGGCAGAACGCCTTCACCATGAACAAGGCAAGTTAAAACGTAGGCTTTTCGCCAACATGACAGGTCGAAGTGGATAAGGAAATGATGAGTAAAGGGTATAAGCAGGCTTCTAAGACAAAAAAAAAAAAGGTTAAGTTCTTTATCACCACCCTATCTCTATATTCCATCACTCTTTTCTCTAACTTGCTCGTCAGAGGGTTCACTAGGGAACTCCCGTTCCCCGTTGAACTCTTGTGCAAGTTTCTCCGTGGGCCCAGCAATCAGACAACGGTTTGGGAGGCATGGATCAATCCGACCCGTTCCATCATGAGCTAGCAGTATCATCAATCACCAAACAAATTTTTTTATTTCACATGTCACATCAAACTTTCAAAACTCAATTATACATACAATTCAAAACTTAATTCGACACTCTATTTGAAAACCATAATCAAACAAATTTTCTACACTCAAATCATAATTTTACAACTCATAAACTCAAAATACAACTCATACTATCAAATCATATTTACAAAATTCTACCACACGCAACCTTAAATTATTTTTGAATATTTCCACATCTCTGGAATAGAGCGAAGATGCTTCTATTTCTCTTATAAAAAGCATTCATCATACGACAGACCACATGGCTTTATTTAAAACAAATCGTTCTAATATAGTACACTAGAGGCGTGCCCAAACAATAACTTTTTTTGTTAGGCTTTCTTGTTTGTTCCTTTAAATAAATTGTATGGCTAAAGATCCTTTGGCATGCCCAAACAATAGCATTTTTGTTAGGCTTTGTTTGTTTGTTCCTTTAAATAAATTGTATGGCTAAAGATCCTTTGGCATGCCCAAACAATAGCATTTTTGTTAGGCTTTGTTTGTTTGTTCCTTTAAATAAATTGTATGGCTAAAGATCCTTTGGCATGCCCAAACAATAGCATTTTTGTTAGGCTTTGTTTGTTTGTTCCTTTAAATAAATTGTATGGCTAAAGATCCTTTGGCATGCCCAAACAATAGCATTTTTGTTAGGCTTTGTTTGTTTGTTCCTTTAAATAAATTGTATGGCTAATGATCCTTTGGCATGGAAGAAGCTGTGGTCAATTCAATAGTCTTTAATTCTCGAAGCTTCCTTTCATCCGAAAGTATTTTTGCAAACCTGTCAAAAGTGTAATCAGCAATTTGATTATTATTTATATTGGTAAAAAGAATTTTATTTACAAAATGTTTGTTTCACGGGAAAATATTTTCATAAAATTAATCTTAAAAAAAATTAATAATTCATTTTTTAATATTTAGTTGTGACTTAAAAATTAATATACTAATGGTGGTAGGGTGGTGAAAATGATGGTAGTATGGTGAAATTAGTAAGACATGAAAAATATGCATTTGTTTTTATACAAAATTTTGCAAAATGCTAGAAAATATGAAAAAATTTGTTTTGATAAAAAAAAATTATCAAAACAAATAAAACATTAATTTAAAACAATTAGCATTTATGTAAAATTGTTACTTTTTCAAAGCATCTTCATTCGTGCCACCATTTTCGATTGGCTTGGAGAGATTAATCTCCAAGTTTACTTTTGAAATTGGCTTCTTCAATAGGCCTTCTCCAATTTTGACAAGTTTCTCCAAGTTCTCTTTCGTAGACACATCAACCGAAGCATCGGTCCCCGTTAATGTATCTTCCTGCTAATAAATAATTCAGTAATATGTATTGTAAACTGAAGAGGATGGGAGAAGGGATAAACCAAAGTATGTCACCATGATATTTTGAGTTTACTAAATAATTTTTTTTATGACTTACCTGAATACGGAGATAATTATCTTCAGAATGAAGAGCTTGGAAAACAATAGAAATATGGAAATCAATCATATCGGCACTTGCTTGAGTAAATACATCGACTAATGGAGTGGAACTACCATGAAGTAACCAACCCAAAACACTCCATTTGGCTGCCATTTTAGCATTGTACTTCTTTTCCACCTTTGCCGATCCAGTGCCTATCGATATCACCAGAAAGCGACCATAATCCATGGGCTTTATTGAAAAGAAATCTTGATTTTCATGAAATATCTGCTTTGTCACTTGGCTTATGGCAACTAATGCCTGAAAAATTAACAAGCTATTAATATCTAAACAAATCCATGAAATTAATTTAGTTCAATGATTCATTATATTGAGTTCATTCGATAAGCTAGTAGTGTGCTATAGCTAAAAGAAAATCAATTTTGATAATAATCATACCGGATTATTTGCAGCAACACCACCATCGATAAGATTGAATTCTTTAACATTTCCTTCACTGTCTTGGTTTTTGAAGTTGTATGCTGGAAGATAAGTTGGAGCCGCAGATGTGCTGATGCAAATATCAGACAATCGAGCATTCAAATATGGTGATTTTTGCACCTGAAAAGGGTTGGAAATACACAATCATTAATGCCTAATTAACTTTACAATCCTAAGTATTTGAAAATTGTTTACAAGTACACGACAATAAGACATTAATTAAAATTTAAAAAAAAAAAAATTATGGAGAGCGAGAGATAGAGACAGAGACCTCGTAAGTGGAGAAAATAGTTGGCTGCAAATGCTTGATATCAAATGTTGGAATGACAACGTTTGTCAAGGTTTGATGCAACAGTGTCTCTCCCAATTTTTCCCTTATGATCCCATGAAGATATTTTCCATTGTACTTTGGTCCAGTTAATAGTTTCCACATGTTTATGATTGATCCGAATGGCCCCCTGCCATTGAAACCAAAATAAGTTGAAATGAGGGGGCGTGGTAGAACTATTTTATATCGGAATAAAACTATTCTGTGTTTATTCAAATTTTGTGATCTGAGATAAAATATCTCAAGGTCCTTTCTATCTTGCACTTGCTTTGTCCTGAGAGAGGTGAGACAACTTATTCGGGCCAAAGTCTTCATTGCAAAAGGTTAAAATACGCTCTTAATATTGTTTGTGAATTAAACGTGGCCTAGATTAATGAAGTTTTGAAGTGGCAATGTTAACACTCAAGTTGTACCTCTCTTGTGGGAAAATCTTGGGAGAGTGCTCAAGATAGAAATTCTTGATATCTTTGGCAGCAAAGAGAGGACGATTGTTTTCATTTGGAGCAGTTAACATAGCAGTTATAAGGCCACCGGTGCTTGTTCCAGCAATCACATCAAAAAAATCTGCAAGTCTTGCATCTTCCCCATCAAGCTCCTAATTGATCCAAGGGTTGCATTATTTCGATTAGTAATATGTAAGTCCACATCGATAATTTGTTATTGATATATCATCACATGTCACACCGCGCCTCGAGCCCCACGTGCCGCCATTTCCCCTTCTCACTCAGTCACCCTTCGCGGTTGGCCCTCCTCGCAGTTGGTCTTCCCACTCGGTCACCCTTTGCGGTCAACCCTCCTCACAGTCGAACTTCCCACTCGGACACGCTTCATGGTCGACCCTCCTCGCAATCGGTCTTCCCCCTCGATCACCCTTCGTGGTCGGTCTTCCTCGCAGTCGGTCTTCCCACTCGGTCACCCTTCATGGTCGGCCCTCCTCGCAGTCGGTCTTCTCACTCGGTCACCCTTCGTGGTCGACCCACCTCTCAGTCGACCCTCTCACTCGGTCACCCTTCGCGGTCAGCCCACCTCTCAATTGACCCTTTCACTCGGCCACCCTTCGCGGTCAGCCCTCTTCCTAGTTGGCCTTCGCAGTCGGCCCACCTCACAGTCGTTTTTTTCTCTATCGACCCCTCGCAACCCCCGTCTTCTTTCTTATTCCCTTCGTTAGATTGAAGCTGCACTTGGAAATGGGGGACTACTGACATAGCTGGGCCCATAAGGGCTTTTGACCCACCATTTAGAGCCCAATGCATAACTCAAACACTACAGCCCAACATTGTTGGAACCCAACGTTGCACCAGGGACCAACGATCACTACAACAAAAATATATTTTAGTGGCACTACACTAATGGCATATTTTTAGAAAATGTCACAAAAAATGATATTTAGTGGCACGCTTTTTAAAAATGCCACAAAACGACAAACATAAAAGGCTCTAGTGACATTTCAATGAACAAGTGTCACAAAACTACAACAAAAACATACTTTAGTGGCACTACACCAGTGGCATATTTTTAGAAAATGCCACAAAAATGATATTTAGTGGCACGTTTTTGAAAAATGCCACAAAACGACAAACATAAAAGGCTCTAGTGACATTTCAATGAACAAGTGTCACAAAACTACAACAAAAACATACTTTAGTGGCACTACACCAGTGGCATATTTTTAGAAAATGCCACAAAAATGATATTTAGTGGCACGTTTTTGAAAAATGCCACAAAACGACAAACATAAAAGGCTCTAGTGACATTTCAATGAACAAGTGTCACAAAACTACAACAAAAACATACTTTAGTGGCACTACACCAGTGGCATATTTTTAGAAAATGCCACAAAAATGATATTTAGTGGCACGTTTTTGAAAAATGCCACAAAACGACAAACATAAAAGGCTCTAGTGACATTTCAATGAACAAGTGTCACAAAACTACAACAAAAACATACTTTAGTGGCACTACACCAGTGGCATATTTTTAGAAAATGCCACAAAAATGATATTTAGTGGCACGTTTTTGAAAAATGCCACAAAACGACAAACATAAAAGGCTCTAGTGACATTTCAATGAACAAGTGTCACAAAACTACAACAAAAACATACTTTAGTGGCACTACACCAGTGGCATATTTTTAGAAAATGCCACAAAAATGATATTTAGTGGCACGTTTTTGAAAAATGCCACAAAACGACAAACATAAAAGGCTCTAGTGACATTTCAATGAACAAGTGTCACAAAACTACAACAAAAACATACTTTAGTGGCACTACACCAGTGGCATATTTTTAGAAAATGCCACAAAAATGATATTTAGTGGCACGTTTTTGAAAAATGCCACAAAACGACAAACATAAAAGGCTCTAGTGACTTTCATAATTTCAAAACTCACAAACTCAAAATACAAGTCTATTATGAAATCATATTTAGAAAACTTTATCAAACACTATCGAAGATTTTCATGATCAAAAGTCTAAAATAGCAACTAAGCCAACATGCTTGTTCGTAGCCGCAAACTTCACAACCACACCCGCGATTTGGCAAGTCCAAAAATCCAACTCTTATAAGTTTTGTCTGTATCCCGCGAAGGATGGTCGCGGTCGCGACCATGGTGTGCGCACTCGCGAAGGTCTTTGGCCTAGGCCTATTTAAGACATGCTGCTGGTTTATTTTGTATCTCTTCCATTTATTTTCTGTGTACTCTCTTCTAAGCTCTTCTAAGTATTATTATCTTCTGAGAGATCATTTTTATAAGTGAGAAATATTTTTGTGAAAGATATCATTTTATTATGGAGAGATTTTGCTAAGTATTTGAGAGTGAATTTTGTAGCGAGGATTACTTATAATACTCTCACATGCTCAATGATTCATTAGCATCTAAGAACCTCAAGCTAATCATCAAGCTATTCTAAGTCTTTCACACCTTTCAATTGTGAACCTTCTTGGTGGATTCCGAGATTGTAGACTTCGGTAGATTCCAAAGTCATTGGTGTCATGGTGATTTGACATCCATAGCGGAGATCTAGTGGAGGAAGAAGAATGAATCGTAAGTTGAGCAAGCGCGCGAGTCTGGAGTGGTCTTTGTAAGATATCTCTTGTACTCTTTTCTTTCATAGTGGATTATTCGCTTGGACAAGGGCCCGTGATTTTTTAGTTTTATTTTTTATCACAAGTTGGTGGATTCCAATTATGATTTTTTCACGTAAAAAATATTGTGTCGTGGATTAATTTTTTCTTGCTCTATCTATTTTCTACATTAATTATGGTTGTGTAATTTTCCATAAAACTAGATTTTTTACTAAGTATAAAAATCATATAAAATTGCTTAAGAAATACAATATTATAATTATTGTGAAAATATAATTATAATTGATTTACTTACTAACAAAATATTAGATAAATTATAAATATACCCTTGAGATTTATTTAAAGTATAAATTTCTCCCTTTGATTATAGTAATTAGATTTCGCACCTTCAAATTTCAAAGTGCATAACAAATAATCTTTTTATTAATAAAGCATTAAGTTAATTAATAATTTTTAATTATGTTAAAAATATATTTTAATTAACGATTTTGATAATTTTATTATTGTATAAGAGAGTAGTTACAAATTTTGCAAGAGAGTAGTTAAATAAAAAGATTGACAAAAGAATATTTGTAATTTCCAATATCACACAAAACAATCAATATTTTAAGAAAATCTCAAAATATATATTTGTAATTCATCCTAAATTACATTAGTATAGAGAGTTTTTATACAAATGCGAGATGACCAAGACAATCACAACATGAGATAACAAAATTTGAGGGAGGGGAACAAAAGATGGCTGTGAGAGCTAATTTCAATTCTATGCGAATGATTCAAGTTATTCATTTTATAGAATTCACCGAGAAAATTACACATATAAAAAATTAAATTGATCAGACATTAATAATCATATGATTAAATCCTAATTATTTTTAAAAAATAAATGTATTATCAAAATGATATTTTCCATTTGTTTATTTTAAAAAAATGTAACCATATGAACATTAAGGATGTCCAATTATTTTATTTATTTTTATTGATGATCTGCTTAACTTGTTGAAAAGATAAACCATATCATCAAATACGTGTGAGATGAGCCAGCAAGCACCGGCTGGACCCTCAAAAGCCGATCAGGGCCGAAAATAAACCGACATAGCCCAAGAACAACCGTGGGTTTAAATGTTATGTCCAATCCAATCCCAAGATACAGCCTCCAAACAAAAAAATCTATTTCAGTCTGGGTCAGCCCAAACATCATATCCACCCGCAGTTCCCTTGTCGGGTACTCCGACCCGAACGGCCCATTTCAGCCCCAAATGGTCGCGTATAAATTAGGAGTGTGCGCAATACAATTTAAATGATTTAAGGATAAAATTATAAATCAAATGATAGGTTAGCGGATTAATGAATTGACAAATCACGATTTGAATAGTTTTAAGCGAATTTACAAATTAAAAAATATTCTAACAAATTATCAAACATTTATATAATATATAACACTAATTTACATAATATTCTTTATATGTATAATACAAATTAATTTTACATAATATGTTATATATATATAATTACTAATCTATAATAAATTTCACATTTTAAATCTATCTCATATTGAAAATATTAAAAATTAAAAAATATATAAATTAATTATAATAGGGAGAAGCAATTTGAAAAATAAATAATAAATTTTAAAATTCAATTCACAATTAACAGATATAACTATATGTACGGGAAAGAAATACGCCTTCTCATATAATCCTGTTGACCAAGTCCACGCTTCTCCGTACGACGTCGCTTTATCACTTGAATACACAAACGTGAGCTAGTCGGCGGGTGTGTGCCGGAAACCTCTCTGATGCCTAAGTCAGTAAACTTGACAAATAGACAAAGCTCTACGTTTTCAGAAAGCAAAATTGTGTGTTACGTCCACCAAGGTGATGTTTGTGAGCTTTTATAAGTTTCGAATGGCACAATCCTAGTAGGACTTTTATTCCTCCATGCAGAGTCCTCCTAGGATTCATACTCCTAAGGATAATGCTTATCCTTTTACACCCCCACTGCTTAAACCAAGTGGGATGGTTTTTACTTTGGCCGAACTACGATATGACCGAAATAAGCTTGGCTATGCAGAGCCACTGAGTAGGCCGAACTATTCTTAGTTCGGTTCTGCTTTTACTCCTCATCTCGGTTCTCTGCTCAACCCATAGCACAGCTGGACCAAACTTAACAAATCGCGACCGGTATTACTCCTAGGTCTGTCTAACTCAAAAATACCGCTAGACCGACCTAGTCAAAATACATCACGACCGGACTAACTCTGAGACCGGCGTAGCTCCAACTTGCCCGGACTAAAGTAGCTTTACTATTCTTGAGCTGAAGTAACTTTGTCTTTCTTGGGCCGGAGTAACTATTTCTATTGGGCCGGAGTAATCATTACGGCCTTTTTACTCAGTCGTTCGTACTTTGGGCCACAAAGCCTAATTCACAGCTCGGTCCAATTTTTCCCAAAAATTACCCTCTCAATTGCCCCTTAATTCCATCTGCACAGCATGATTGGGATTACAAGTCTTCCA